TGTCTTCTCTTCTGTTCAGAGTCGCACGCGTGATATGCCCTGCGAATCCATCAGTGAGCTTCTTAAGAAGGGCTCACAGGACGCTTATGGGATTTTCGCCAGTGTTGATAAGGTTGGCACTGATGTGGTCTTCGCAAAGGGCTTGTATTCAGATGATGAGCAGCCTGGGGTTGATCTCACTCGATGTATCCACGCTACGATTTTGTGCCACAAGCAAGGTGTTCACATTTCGTCCAATGATCGCCACGCGCAAGCCGTGGCTTATTACAATTTGGGATGGGCAGAATATCGCGCCCATATTTGCCTGCCATCTGAGATCAGGAAGAAGTCCAGCAGCTACGTCAAAGCTGCGGTGAGGTCGTTCAAGCGTGCTATCGAGTTAGAAGCTGGGAATTCGGAGTTTTGGAATGCTCTGGGCGTAGTAACCAGCGAGATCAACCCTACAGTAGCACAGCATGCTTTCGCCCGAAGTCTGTACCTGAACGAGAGAAGCCCTGCGGCCTGGACGAATTTGGGAACTCTCGCCCTTTTGTCCGGAGATGTCGAGCTGGCTAACGAGGTCTTCACGAGGGCCCAGTCAACTGACCCTGACTATGCACACGCTTGGCTAGGGCAGGGATTTGTGGCTCTTCTTCATGGTGACACTAAAGAAGCCCGAGGACTATTCACCCACGCGATGGAGATTGCAGATGCATCTTCAGTACCTACCAGGCGTCACTACTCAAGCTCACTCTTCGATCATATTCTTTCATCGCCTCCCAATGAAATTAACGTTGAATCGCTCATTCAACCACTCTTCGCTCTCAACCAACATCAAAGCCTCAAATCCGATGACCTGGCATTTGGTCACTTGACGACACTATTTCAAGAGCGTACCAGAGAGAGCAGCCGTGCTGTTGATACGCTAGAAAAAATATCCTCGATTGTTGAGGCCGATTACGAAAGCACCGAATCCCCTCAAAGTCTTGCCAAGTTTGCTCTGGCCAAAACGGATCTAGCACGAGCATACCTCGCTTCTGGCTCATATGAAAAGGCAGTTGAGTGTGGCGAGCTAGCACTAGGCTTGAGCAGCGAAGAGGCAGAGAACGAGCTCTCAAGTGAACAACGCAAGAGAGCTCGCTTGTCTGCACATCTCACTGTAGGATTGGCGCAGTACTACAACAACCAGTTCGATGAAGCGACCACGTATTTCGAGTCTGCTCTGGGGGAGTCTACTGGCAACCCCGATGCTGTATGCTTGTTGGCTCAAGTACTTTGGGCTCAGGGAGCCGAGTCGTCCCGAGAGAGAGCTCGTGAAGCATTGTTTGAGGTGATTGAAAAACATCCTGAACATGTACAGTCGGTTCTTCTTCTTGGTGTGGTGGCTTTGTTGGACAACGACGAGGATTCTTTGGAAGCAGTTGTCGAAGAACTGAACGGGCTTCGCACCAATCACAAGGTGACAGCCTCAGAGCAGTCGCACATTGGCGAAGTACTACGTGCCATTGCCACGCTTGGAGAAGGACGCACGGAGGAGGATATGAGAACACAGGTACAGACAGATATCATGCTGTATCCTGACCTACCTCATGGTTGGCCTGCTCTGGCCCAATCTACCGGCGACGAGTGCGCGTCTCAGATGGCGCTCAAGGTCGCAGCAAGGGGCATTCCTCCAAAGGGGTTGCTGGAAGCCCAGGATCTAGCAAAGGCATATGCTGGAACATCTACTGCTGGAGATGCTCAGCGGGCAGCCTTCTTGGCGCCTTGGGAACAGACTGGCTGGACATCGCTGGCCGCTGCCACTGAAGGCATTTAGCGAATGTAAATATGTACGAGGATAGTTTGGAACACCATCAACGAGTAGCATATGGCGTCATAGAAGAAATATGTGCATAGGGATGTCTGTATGTATAAAGTTGTTTGAAAAGGGGTATCAAATGTAAATCCACTGGGCCCTCACGATGCCTGCATTTCATTCTGCCCTATTTCCTCCTTCAGTCTCGCCAATCGTCCATCGACCCATGTTTTCTGCCAGGCCTCAATCTTCCCGCCAAGCATAACACACTTGTCCGGCTCCAATAAGATCATTCCTCTGGCAATGACCGTCCCAGCCTTGAGTAAGATCTTCTCTCCAATCTGAGTCCTGCCAACTCCGATACTGTCAAACCGTCGTAGTTCAAGGGCAAAAAGTTTTGTTCCTTTACAATCCTGCAGGACGAGTCGATGCGTCGCATTCTTTCCTGCTGGTTTTGGGCCAGCTGTGTTCCGAGAAGCTGGGGGTCGCTGGGTTGGGCCATCAACGCCATCTTCATCATCGTCTTCTGCTGTAACACGAACAACTTCTCTTCCACGAGTAGTCTCACCCCTAGCCACAGCCTCCATCTCTTCAACCTGTTCCCAGCGACTCGAGGCAAGATTCTCGATGTCGAGCACTTGCACATGTACAGGTCTCGGGAGACGCTTCTCGCGAGATTCTGTAGAGTCCGCATCAGAAGGGAAACTCTGAAGAGAACCTGTGCTCATGATTGTACTGCCGGTCAAATCGGCTGCTAGCAATCGAGCTTTGGCAGTGGCTAGAAGAGAAGGAAGTGGTGGGGGAGGTGAGCGGGTGGTTATAAGTGAGTTGAGAAACGCAGTTGAGGGATGAGGAAGGTTTTGTGCCAATACTGAAGCACGAAGTTGGCCGACGAGATCCATTTTTTTGTTCTTTTTTTTTTTTTTTTTTTTTTTTTTTTAAGACGACCACCGCGATCTTGATCCTTTCGTGACGAGACGTCCATCATGTATCCTGTCCACAGCCTTGTGAAGGGAATGACGTTTCAGCGGCTGAGAGTGGAGTATCCCCTAAACTTTAGCGTGCCGTGCCCCTGGATTGTAGGTCATCAACCAC